ATGTGTGATTCTTGGAGCATTCAGAGACTTCTGTATTACAAAATGTGGGCCCAGACTTCTGTGAAAAAGTGGTACATGGAAGATCACCTACTTGTATGTTTGATTTAGCTAAAGAACATGGTTTATAAAGATAACAAAGATATCCATCCTTGATCTAACTTTATTTTTTTTTCTCCCAGGTAGTTGTATATCTCCCTCTGGTGAACTCAGAGTTAAAAGGAACAGTATTTTGGTTTGAGTTTGAACTAAACATCCAGCCTCTGGACATGGCTCTGAGTTCTCTGGTTCTGCCTGCTGTGTGCACTCGGTGTCTGCCTTCCGCATCCTCACTGCTCAGCTGGCCGGCAGTCTGGAAAATGCTGATGTTCTAAGGGTTACTGGATTACAATTGTTCTCTGCAAACAAAATTCACATCTGTTCTGACAACTTATTTCAGCCTGATGCAACTTGAAAAGGTCGAGATTAATCCCAGAAAATCAGACTTCTAGTTGAAAGGCCAAATCAACTTTAATTGTAACACATGGCTATTTGTATTGGCATTTAGCTGCAGCCGTTTATCCTTCTTTCCACTGGTATTATTTGTTTCTGAGCTTGCTACTAAAGCCTACAATGCCAGCTGAAATATTTTAAGTAATGTAACAAAAATAACAGCTGACATCTTTCCTTTTACAGGTTTCCACTCACCCAGGGTATTTTATGTGCATGGCTTTTGTGACTTTTGTTTATCAGCAGTCTGGGAAAAAAAGTCATAGAAGAAAATGTTGGTTCATTTTCTAAAGATTAATGGTGGCTACTGTATCCTCCTATCCTGTTGGCTTTATCCATCAGAGCCCGAGGGGATGAACCATGTGCTCTGGAGTTCTGCCTCGTACCCAATTTGGATCCCAGCCATTAAGGGGTTTAAAGCCCCTTCTCATAACACCAGTTGCAAGCTGTGCTTTTCCGTGCTGGTGAGGTGACTAAGAGCAGCACCCCTCCCTAGGCATGGTGAAACACCTCTCTAACTACCTTACTTCTGGCAGCTGCTATCAGCTCAGCCTGTTCAGCCATCAACTGATAGCTGAGCTCTCAGATCCCCTGAAAAGTGACAGGATGAAAGAGACTGATTTGGCAATACTTTGCTCTTTCTGTTTGGCCTGGAGAAAGATACTCTAAGTGGTAAGATTGTTTAGCAACAGCTGGCAAGCACCCGGGTGTGAGCCTGATTTTCAGACATGACAAGCACTTATAGGAATGTTGCCAGATACAGCTGTTTAAAAGCCTTAATAAACAGCAAGTCAATACTAATCTTTGCCAAATTAATCTTTTCCTTGACAGCCCATCAGAGCAATTATACTCAGACTCGTTGTAAACACACAATTGTCAGAGGGTAAGGATCTTCTCTGCAGTATACTGTGGATTTTTGTACACAGATTGTTTTCCAAATAGGTAGGCTTCCTTTTCTTTTCCTCTTCCTCTCTATCTCTTTTTCCCACCTCTCCCATTTTATTTTCAGGCTGATTATATGATTGCCAGCTTGGTATTAGCCTGAACAAAATTTCTTTGTAAAGTGTCTATCACAGCATGTCCTTAATAGAATGTGAAATGATGACAGTCACAGGATCCATGCAGATGCACATTTGCTAGTGGGTTTCTCTAATTAGGCAGTAACTGTGACAGACTCTGAAATGTTACAAGTCATTGTTCTCACTTGTCCTCTTGTTGGTGAAGTAGGAGCTACATTTGAGATGTGATTTAATATACTGCTGGGTAATAATAAAATACATGGGTTTGCAAAGGAAAGCAAACGGTGTCTGTGAGACCTGACACAAAGCACCTCCTGTTTTCCAAGGTGCTCAGCACCTTCTGCAGCACTGCCAGCACACTGCTATACCCACAAAATATTATTTTATTCCAATGCAAAAGGGCTTGAAAATACCAGAAAAAATAATTAACAGGGTAATGGTTGTTTATCTGCCTGCCTGCCTGCCTGCCTGTCTATCTATCTAGTCTTTTTTGACTATATCTATACCTCTGTCTGTAACTTTATCTGCCTCTATACCTACCTATCAATGGGAGTCCGGGGGAGTAACTCCTGTATGGGCTACAGAACAGCTCTTTAGCTACTTCTCACAGTTATGTGCAAAATATGGATTTTTACCCACTCCATTTTCCCAGAGCACAGAAATATACCTCTGTGGATCTGCCATGTTTACAGGATTGGGGAAGAAACAGGCAGACACATACTTGGAGATGATAGTTCAGGGTGGGATGATGTCTCAAAAGGCTAAGGAAGGTGGTAAGAGCATGTTTTACGTTCCAGTAATGAGCACTTTTTTTGTTGGGTTTCCTGTTTACAGAGGAGCCTCACAGGGAATATTTGGCAGAGACGCCACTGGAATGAGGAGCTGGTATTTGGTGAGAGAGAGAGAGAAGTGGGCATGAATACATTACATTTCCCAGTGAATGGCTGGGGCCCTCTAATGAATACATTACTTACTGCCTGTGGATGAGTGTGAGGGGAAAATCCTATGGCAGGCCTGTTTGAATTGGAATTTGGCTTCTTTGGTCAGAGGCAGCAGCTGGATGAGATTTCTGCTTGAACACATGTGAGTCTGGGGATAGAGAGACCAGGATATCTCCTGTCACCAGAACATGGCACGCTGAGAGCAGCAGTAAAATCAAAGTGCTTTTCCTTTTTAAAACCTCTGCTTACCTTGTGCAAGCAGATGGGATTTACAACCTGCGGAGTGCATATGTTGCCAACTTTGCATTTTGTCCACCACGTTTTAAAAATAATTTAAAAATACATTATTTTCAATGAATGGTGGACTATTTCCTTTGGTTTCTATCACTCTGACAGATGTTTTTATCATATTTACTGTGTTGCTTTCATGTGCAGGTTGTTTAGTTCCTCTGTGCTTTCTCATTATCATGGTTGGGACAGATGGCGACTTACAGCCGGTGACCGGGGTCTCTGTGTTACCGTGGTGCCTAAGGCACAGTGCTGCAGAAAAGGATGGGGCACATCTTCACCAACTCCAGTGGAGTTTCACCTGCTTACAGAAGGATCCCAACCGTCTATTGGCAATTGATATCTGCCAATACACAGCCCAAAATACACAGCAGACTGCCCATGGCTGGCAACAATTTCTTTTTCTTGAGGTCACACTTGAAGAATTGATATTTATGGATTGAAGTTTGAGGATGTTTCTTTTGGAAAAAAAATGGTTTCAGGATACCCATGGCCAAAACCTGCTGTTCTTCTAGCACAGCTGTCTTATCTGAGCAGAGCCCGGACACAGAACCACGCTCAGAGCACTGGATGGGTAAAAAGTGCTGCACAGCAAACACACCACAGCTTCCCGTGCTTACAGACTGAGAGACACCAACTAGCCAGAGGTTCATACAGAATAAGTATTTTATTCATGATGTATTTTTTTTATTTACATTAAAGTTTTCTTGTATTTTGAACTCTGCTTGGATACCGAAATTAACAACTTTATGTGACTGCGCACCTGCTCTAAAAGAAATGAAGATAACACAGTTCTTTTCCATAAAAGAAAAAGGAAAACTGCCTGTCAAAATCAAAGCTGATTTTTCTTATTCCCAGTAATTATCTTTTTCTCTTTAGAATTAATATGAGAGGAGAATGTAGTTTACTATAATATAATAAATAGAAGACATTGGGTAATTAGTAGTGCTGGTATATTTCTAAAGTACTAAACAGACAAACAATAAACTGTGAATTTAATCACGAGTTCTCATACAGTTTCAAGACAGGAAAATTAGAGCTCTCAGCTACAGTCATTTGAGTAATCACATCTGATCTGCATTATTTATTAGTTATTACATGCCAAGTGATTCCGATTGTACACTGCCTGAAATCATTCAGAAGCAAGCATGCCTTTATTTCTGTTTTGTATTATAAAGAAAAACCAATAGCATTGCTGAATGTGTATTCTATCTGAACTGCTTCCTTTATTTCACACAGAAAATACAAATCAGTGGTACTGTCCATTAATGGGACAGGCATCTGGGACAAAATCATCCAGAAATGTATTTTCAGAGCTATCCCTGATCCCAAACATTGACAAAATACTTTATTTTGGATAGTTTTACTCTTTTCCCTGTGGCTGAAGAACTTACCTTTCATTTTAGGATTTATTTCTGATATACTCCCTAAAGTTCTGTAGGACTTTGCATATATAATAAAATGGCTGAAGCATATTTGGTAATATTCCTTTTGGTAATATGTTTATTCCACTTGACAAATTAACAAAACATAATGAAGTTTCAAGAAGCAGCATTATGCAGTTTTATTCAGTTAGTTTTGTTGGTTCAAGTCTTAGTTTTGGGCAAGTTAGTTTTTTCCTGCTACAATGCTTTAAAAAGGGAATTACTTAAAATACCTGTTTTTCTTTTCCTTAACAACCGAAGAAATAGAGAAATAGTTCTTGGTTACCTTCATTTTCTGCCAATAAAGCAGGTTTGTTGTTATATTTGTCACTGTAAAAACTAAATAAAGTATTCACATCAGTTGTGAACAATTTGTGCCAGCAAAAGTTAAAGCGTCAAAGAAACCTCTTTAAAATGCTAACAAATTTACTTACAAACACCTATATTTATTATTTCATAAATAGGCGCAACAGGTTCCATAAAAAAGATTAAATACAGACACAGTATGAAGAAACAATAATACATAGCCATATGTAGAGGTTATAATTTAGCTGTCTCCAATCTGTTTCTGCATCTAATAAAATATCAGGTAAGCATTTGGCAGTTTTATACATAAAAGGACTTAAATGACGTTTACTAACCAGTACACATAAAGTGATTTTCTTTAAAAAAAAAGCATTTTTTTTAGGCAGTACAAAATAAATGTGTTTGCTCTTTATCAACATTAGTTTTTTCTCCTAAGTTTTTTTGTATTTATTTCATGAGACAAAGCCAATATTTTTAATTAATATAATTTGGGACTACTTTACTTATTTTTCTCCAAATACTTTGAAAATATAGACTATCAGTCAGTTGTTTAAAAATGAAGTAAAAATATGAATGTTTGCCAATTTTACCCTTATTGTGAAATCAATAAACTGGAATGAGCCAGTTTCAATTACAATTAGCTACAAAAACATTCACATTTTATACTCTAGGAGAGTGTAACATAGATGCTATTTACAAACTTGCTATGACTGCTACATCAAGCCATTTAAAAAGTCTTTAGTAGTTTCATATAAACACCCATTATGAAAAACCAATGGAAAATCCAGGACTTTTATCCGAGACATCTACAGTTGCTAAGGCAGTTACTACCGCAGCACTTCACAGCAAAAACCAACATAAAATCTGAATGGTCCAAGTTTCCTTCAGGGAAGAAGAAAAGCAATGTCCGTTAAAGGATCTCAGGGAAGGGATGGAAAGGAGAAAGAAAGAGAAAAAATGGGGAAAAAAAAAAGAAAAAAAAAAAAGAAAAGAAGCAAGACTATTTTTTCCAGAGTGGGTGACCCACGAGCTCAAATAGTCCTAAGTGCTTAGCAACTTGTATTTCCTAATAAAATGCAGAACTGCCTTGACTGCATAAAGCAATCCATGATGAAAAGACTTCCCTGCATTCCTCAGTGGAAAGGAGAGGTGTTTCAGATTTTCAGGTAAGGTAGAGTGCTTTGTCCCTCTGCATGCCCCTGTTCAAAGAGAAAAGAGAACAAATGTGATTTTTTTTTTATATTTGAAAAATTTTTAGTTCTATTCTTCTTCTTCTTCAAAAAAAATCAGCTCCACAACCCCACTGCATGTCATTAATTCCAAGCATATCACAGAAGTACAGCTGCATTGCCATGGTTATAATAAGAAAAAATCATAGTGACATATAGCAACCTGGAGATCACATCTGGCTTTAAAACTGCACAGGGCTGGGACATGGGCTTAAACACTGGTTTGGGATAACCTGCACTACTGGGCTGGTAGCACCGACTATCAAAAACTGCTTGGAGCTTTGTATTTAGCACAGGTCTTGGAATAATGCTCCATAAGCTCCCTATAAGAAGCAGCCACTTTCCTTAGAGGCAGGAGAGCTTTGTTGCATGAACATGGGTTTCAGGCACTTACTGAGCCTCTGGCATATCTGATTTACTAGTACAGATATAGCTAAAACATGTTGGGATGGCAGGTTCAGGTGAGCACTTGCAAGGGGACAACAGAAGCTTAGCAAAGACAGTTTAAGTCCACACACATGGATTTACAAAAGCTTATCTGCACAGAGTGCAGTATCTACAGGCATATCTGGTCAGACAAAGCTGCTGGGGATGGAAAGTTATGCCCACTGCGCACCTGGAGAGCACTTCTGGGGACAATGACACATTGCTTTTTTCCAAAAGAGACCAGGAATGAAATCCACAGGTGGCTATGGCTCTTTTGACAGAGTCTATTCAGTCTATTCAGAGCTCATTGTAAGTGGTTGTAAACGTCTGTGGGCTGGATAGACTTCTACAAGGGCCTGCAGCACATGTCAAGACATGGTGATAGAGCACAGAAGTAAAACTGTTCAGCTGAACAAGCGGGCAAGTCATGGGGCAACAGTGATAGGTCTGGGAAAGAGTGATGCTGCTGTTCAGACTTGTTCAAGTCTGTCTCAGTGCCAGCAGGTTGTAGCAAAGGTGTTATACTGAACTAGAAGCCAGAAAAAGATTTTTATTCAGTTCTAGTCTGAGTTCCAGAAACACTTTAGAACAATAAGGCAAGTGAAATTCTCTGTTTAAGTAAATGTAATGGGTGAAGCTGGTCTTTAGTTCTGCTTTCTGTTCATTTGTTTGGGCTAGATTTGGCACTTTGGCAACAACAAAGAGCTTTCATCTGCCATTTCTCTGGGGAGTCATGCTAAGTCAAGGCAAAGTTAGGCTGGTGGGCATGTTCACAAGGCACAACATCTAAAATTTACAACTACATTTAAAAAGATCCCTTCTGTTCAGTCTTAAATGTTTCCGGGCATTTCCTGGCACTGTAACATGGCTCCACAAAAATCATGTTGCCAGAAGTTGAAGGTTCAAAGGGGTTACTAACCTTTTATTGAGGACATAGGGCTCCTACAGGCATGCTATTTTATTTCTGGTACTATCATGTGTTCTTCATGCCATTCTCTTCCATGTATCTTGTATCCCATGTATCAGTCATGCTTCTCACTGATGTGGTTTTTCATGACCCAAACTAGTATTTTTCATATCCCAGACTAGAAAATAGTTCATGTAATTTGCCTCTCATTGAGACACAGTGATCTTAAAACTTCTTTCTTACTCCTCCCTAGGATTTTAGCTCTGATCTTCTATGGAATGCAAGTTCTCTGAGATCTAGAAAGTGTATGTGCTGTGATAAGGTGATAACAATGTCTATTAAATATATGTATTGAACACTTGTTCTCCCACAACTGACTAACTGCTGAATAAATACAGGGCCATCAGAGATGCACTTCAGAAACACTGTAGGGAAATGAGCAACAATGCTGATCCAAATTCTCTATCATATACTTGTGTCATGAATGTTGCTCAACACAAGGTGGCATTCACTGGCTGCTTACCCATTACTGCAGTAGTCATTATTCCAGTCCACAGTCTGTGCTGGAGGATTTCTGCACCCTGAACGAACATACTCCATTGCTTGGGTAACAACTTGTGCAGCTGTTGATGTTGGATTGATGATATTCTGATAATCAGGCTGAAGAGTAAATCCCTAGAGGAGAAAACAAGTATATTACAAAGTATGGAAAAAAAGTAACAGGTTGGGTGCATTAAAAAAAGTAAAAATGCTGAGTGTGCTGTGAAATGGTAGAGAATACTTCTTTTCCAGGTGTGATTTCAGTTATAAAACCTAAAATAGGCAAAAATGTGTAGGTGCTTCTTAAGTTTTAAAATCTTTCTTCAGTTTGAGAAATGAAACACTGACAAAGCATTGTTCACTGTTACATATTCACAGGATGGAACTAAAGGAGACAGAGCAGAAACAATTCAAAACCAAGGGAACAACTCAATCAGCACTGGGACAAAAAGGTCTGTTTGCTCCTTAGAGCTTCCATTTAGATTAAACGTAAGCATACACACTAGTCACTAATTCCCAGAATATGCAACAGAATCTTTTTGAAGGATGTAGGCAGCAGGTGGCTGACTGTTTTATTAGACTACACCTATTCACGTATTGTTCTCAAAACCCTTTTTCTTCATTCAGCCACAAAGGGACCATCTGCTGCTTCTTTTATTTGCACTTCTCTCTCAACTAAACGGAAATTCAACCAAAGCTTTTTAACAGTTGTTGGACTAATGTAGTGAAAGTAGCACAGAATAACTTGCTTTTGAAACCAAGGAGACGAGAAAAAAAAGTGGAAGTTACAAAGAGAAATCTAACCTGTGCCCTGAATCTTCTGTCATATGAAAAGTTATAATCATTTTTAGGTCTTTTGATATATTCTGATGTTTAAATATTGTGTTTCAAACCCAGGAGAACAATTGAAATTTCAAGGCTAGTGTATCTAGTTCACCCTGTACATCGTGTTCCTGTAAAGTAGGAAGAGCTACATTGGGTAAAATCATGGGAATGTTGTATAAAAGCAATCAATGTCTGCTGAAAAAAAAAAACCAGACCAAACTTCTTCCTGGGGCAAGGGCATACAATTCCCACTCAAGTTGACTGGATGCATATCTACTAAATCAGAAATGGAACTTGCACCAAAATGCCTAGTTTGGAAACTCACTCCTTCCAGCCAAAGCCCACATATCGAATAGATAGAATTAACTCTCTTAGCATTTAGTTAATTTAGTGTGTTGTGCTTGATTGCTTTCCTTATGCAGCCTTGATCAGGACAGGGTATTTGTGGACAGATGTTTTTTCTGCAGATTTAAGAAGGTAGCCACACTACCTTTTGTCAAGATAAATGAATGTTCTTGGCTTTTGCTTGGCCCCCTTTATGCATAGAAATTACATCCCTTCAAACGGTACGTCACTTCCTCCTTCCCATCTCTCTTCTTAGCTGTTCCCTGAGGTCCTGCAGGTGTTTTGCCCCACCTCTCATGTGCACTGCCACCTCACTCCACTCATCCTGTTCACGGGTTTTAGTCTAGACTGTAAATGACTGCAACTTTATTCCTTAATCTTTTGCGTATGGAGAATATCCTGAGTAACACTTCAGTGCCTTAAACGTTCTTGGAAACCTCACTTTGTACCTGATGACTCCAAGAAACAGACTATTAGGATTGAGCAAGTTCACAGCTGAATTCTGCATCTAGTTACCATGTTATTTATATACTACACTGCTAAGAGATTAGATAAAACCTTCCTGTGGTGGGTTTTACATCCATGGGGACCGTAAACCCCATGTTCTGCATACTCCCTTTTCACCAGGCTCTAAACCTACGCTGCAACCTGCAGAGACAACCCCCATGCCTGCAACAGACCCAAAGGAAACAGTAACTGAGAAGATTTCCCAATGACTTTAATTGGAGTTTTGTGCAATTAGAAGGCAGAAAATTTGGGGTTTTATACCATTGTCATCATTTTTATACAAAACATCAACCATAAGGCCTTTCTAATTTAGCTGTCAGAGGAAATCAACCACAGAAACACATCCTACCCTCAGGCACTCCGATTTACCTTTGGTAGCAAGTCCCCTGATCTATCATATATACAAGAAAAACATCTATAGGGACAGTAGCCAGTAGCAAAGCAGGCTACAGAGCAGACACAGAGACTCAGATACTCATAAAATCATAGGATGGTTTGGGTTGGAAGGGACCTTAAAGATCATTTTGTTCCAGCCCCCCTGCTTTGGGCAGGAACACCTTCCACTAAACCAGGTTGCTCATGGGTCCATCCAACCTGGCCTTGAACACTTCCAGGGAGAGGGAGCATCCACAAACTCTCTGGACAGCACTCCTGCAGCAAGGAGACTGTTCCTCCAAATCAGAGCAAGAGACCACCAGTACAATATCCATTCCATTTCTTCTGGAATTAGGATAAATAGCTTAGATGTCAGAGAACTCAGGAGCTGGTTGCAGATGCATTCTCATATTTTTTCAGGTTTTCTGTGTGACCACAGCCAAATTGCTTTGTCTCTCTCCCAGCAGAGCACATGTGCACTTGTGCTTGGACTGCTTTGGTACGTCTCATGTTAAGGCTGGGGCTGCAGAGCCAAATTTAATTCTTCTACCTGAAAAATAAGGCGTAACAACGCTTTCATCTTGTACCTGGCAAGTCTATTTAGTTTATGGCTGCCTGGGATTGGGGCCTGTTTCTTAGGGCACACGCAGGTGATAGGAGCTAACACGGTGCAGGGGTATCTGAGCCAGGCTCCAGTCCCAGAAGGGTCTCAGTGGTCCCTCTGGGGGGTTGAGGGCTACCAGAATACCTTCACTGTGGGTGATGGAAAGCATGTTTATTAAAGCAAAGTCATTTAAGCAACCTCAACTCAGTATGACTAATAAAGTATGATACTGTTTAAGATGCAAACAATAATTACTTCAGCTTTTTCATCAACAGAAAAAGCTCTGAAAATACAGATCTGTACAACAGAGGGAAACAGCCTTGTACCAGGCTTGTGGTAAATATTTGGGTATTATTTATGTAAGCCCTTAACAAACAATGATGAAATAAAAAGTGCTCAGAAAATGAGTGCTTCGAGGTCTAATTAAACAATGCTGAATGTTTTTGCATTGTAATGCTCAAGAGAAAATCACCAACTGTTTTGCAACATGCCTAGAATTTAAAATTTCATTTTCTTGTCCCAGATTGAAATAAAAATAGGGAACTTGATAAAGATTAATTCGATGTCAGGAGGGACATTTGCTCTTTAATTAGATTTCTGTAGCCCTAGCAGTTTCGTTGTGCTACTGTAGCAAGTCCTAAAAAGCCTGCAGCAGAACTAAAGAGTGATCCTCATCTCCACACTTTACCAGGAACTAATTTCATTTCCTGCCTGTCTGGAGAGGTATTTTCAACAGGCATCAATGTTTTTGTCTTCACAACTGATTTATTCATCAATCTCAATGTGATATTTTAAACCTTTAAATTACATCCAAATCCTAAAGCATCTGTTTATTACACAAGGAAATTGAAAATCTGTCTGTGTGATATCATACAAAGATTTTTCCTTAAGGTTATAAAGGAAGTTGACAGATATTAATGATTTTTTTTTCCCTTGACCTCATTCGAAGACAAAGCTTAACAAAAAAGAAGAAGAAATCTGGACAAATACAGCATGTTCCTGAGTTTGCTGTATATAAAATATATACCAGAAAAAATGAGGTTATTATTTTTGGCAGGCTATGCAATCATCTTGCTGTATACATTTATTTTCTTAAGGAAAAGAAATACCTAAAAGTAGACTGAAATGAGTTATTATTAAAAAAAAAAATAAAATGTGACATACATTAATCTTCTGGTGCTTTGTTATGCATACGTACTTGCAGCCATGGTTACTAGACATTAAGAATCTAGTTTTGCTTCCTCCACCTGTAAACTGAAATGGGACAGAGGTGGACATGGAACTCACCATCCCATGCAATGCTTGGGCGAAGGATTTTGAGCAGGGAAGGTGATGCTTCCAGTAGGGCTACTTAAAATGGTTCCTTAACAAGTTTTTGGGTGTATTAAGGAGGAAGAGAATCCTCAGTCTCATCACTCTTCACACCAAAGAGCACAGTGAACAGGCTGGATAGCAGGGTATGCTCAGAAAGAGGCACAAATGTCCACGTGAGTAGAGAAAGGAAAGAATAACCCTGCAAGTAAAAACAGGCCGCAGCTGCAGCTGCTGTTTCAGCCTGAACTTTGGAGAAATGGTGCTGATTTGAATGACAAGGGTTAATAATCAGATCATCTAAGGCCAACTAAGGAAAAACTAAATATCACGTTAAACCAAAGAAACAGACTGGAGAGAAACAACTCTGTGTCAGTTAAAAAATTATACAGGGATAAGATTCTCATATGAGCATTTAATGAAACAAAAATCACACTCTTCAAATCTAATGTGAGTCTTCCTATGTGCCAAAGGTGGATAAAACAAAAACTACAGCAGAGCAGATTTTGACTTTGAAAAGTAAAACTTTAACACAGCTCCTGTTAATGATATTTAAGAAAAATATAATACATTTCAGAATTAGAAGCTAAAGAAAATAAAAATCAGGATCTAATTGAAATCTAAGTATGAGAATAGAACTAACGATCTTTTTTTCTATAGTTGAAAGGATTGTCACTGTAAACAAGCACCCCAAAGGTCTACAGTAGTGACCCTTTTTAATTTATTCATTAACTGTGGGAACAGAAGAGAAAAAAGACAAAATAATCTACTTCCAAGAAGTTCCAATTTAGATAACTCAAAATAGAGAAGATTGTTTAAAATAAATGAAATAATAATTACTAATGCTAGGCATATGACCGAAATGCTAATACAGAAATTTTACATTGCATTTCAGAAAAATTTGGATAGATTACATCTGCTGCATACTCCACAGAGTTAATTGATTTTAAAAATAACAGAAATTGTGCAGTCACTGAGGATTTTTGGCTACCAACACTTCTGATTTTCTTGATGTTCTGTAGTTTTTGTGGATCCTCAAAGGAGACTGCCCTTCTCCAGCTGGCAGTCACTCTTGATTTGGCAACTGTGCACGTGCAGGCAAGGAGTGCTGGATATGGAGAAGGACATGCTGTTCCCTGTAGAGCTGATGAAGATCAGCTCATTGTTCTGGAAGCAATGGGAAGAGAACTCTCTCCCCAAGTCAGCACTTCTTATCAGTCCCTCCTCAAAGTTTGCATAGAAGAGTTTGTGAATTTCACGCATGATGGTTTTTGGATCACTGTGTTCCTGCCTGCCAGGACTGAAATCTGGATCTCTGAGTGGTTTTCCTTGGAGCTGGCAGTCCTTCAGATATACTAAAAGGTGGCTTTTGATATGAAACTATCCTTTTCCTGGAGAAAATGTCTGAGCAAATGTCACCGAGCCAGAGTTCAAGCGGGGGATCTGTTGAGAGCAGGGATTCGCAGAGCTGGCTACTGTTGTGTCACATTAGTGAGCCATGAACTATTTCACTGAGAGATATTTGGAAAAGAAAGGGGGGGAAAAAAAGAGAGAACCCACAATTGATGATTTCTAACATGCCTCCAGCACAGTCTGCAATGAAGGTGCCCAACCAGCTGAGCATGCCAACACCTGCAGTAGAAGACTGCTAGGAAGCTGTTGGCAGACTTACTCTTCTCTTGCCTATTAAACTCCATGCTGCAGTGTGACATGACAAAATTTTCCTCTTTTTTTTTCTTGTAGTGTATTAGTCTGTTTAGTATGAGTAGTGCTGAGGCTTCCAAAGGGGAAAATGACTCCTGTTGCAAGTCACTCCCTAGGGAGTGGTGTGTTAACCAGTTTCTGTTCTTGCTGCCTTCATAGAGTCTTTGGAAAGGCTTACAGTGGCCATACCTAAGCAGGGAGGAAATAAAACAACTTGAGGGAAAAGGAAGTGAAAAAAGTTGGCTTAAAGGCAACTATTTCTCTGCTTTATCAGAATTCATATTCTCCCATTCTTCTTGGCTGTCTTTTTATGAAGGAGAGTGTTCTACACAGTGTTGTTTGGGACTGAACATGACATCCAGACCTCCCTTTCCCTCCTCACCATAGGCCAGACAGATGGTGAGGTACTTCCTCTTTCTCCTTACTGCTGAGCTTCCTGACTCCTTGACTGAGCTTCTGGGAGAGCTCCATTTTTCTCCTATTAAATATTTTCCTCTTTAAAAAGCTCTGTGATCACCAGAATGTTTGCTCTATTTCAATCAGAAAGGAGAGCAGAGTCCTTTGACAATTGAGTCAGGAAGAGGCCCTTACTTTCAGGTTGTAGTCTCCTGACTTTCTGCTATTTGCCTCCTGGTGACCAACCTGTCTTTGTTCTAACACAGTGTGGAATCCTGGTGCTGTGTTTTCTATCATTTCTTGACTAAAAAGAGTCATACCTAAGAAACTGAACAGGATACCACTATTCTGTTCTGTCACCCTAAATCAAAGTGTTGTTAGTACACTTCCAGCCCTATAATGTAATATACATTTTGCTATATTTAAATTCACAAACTATAAGCTGTTGCATGCCAAAAAAAAACCAAAACAAAACAAACAAATATTCCAAATGAAATGACATAGATTTTCCAGAGTTCAAGAGCTGCATTGCTGTAAAGCAAAAGCAGAAGTGTAAGAAATATAAATTGGCTTGTAGATATTACACAGTGCTTAAACAGACGTGTAGATTGGCAGTGCACCATTTCAACTAGTAACAAGCATCTTGAGTGAAACAGAAATATCTCACCACAGTATCTTCATTAAAAGCATCAGCCTTTCTGACTAAGGAACATGAGTTGGTAAAAAGCATTTAACCTTAAATTTTGTGAGTTTAACATGAACACAGAGGTATGGCATTTTTTACTTAATTATAATTGTCCTTAGCTAGAAAGAAGATTCATCATGATAAAGGTCTAAATTCTGACTTGTAGAGACCTGTTTTCTACAACCAAGTGCCCTTTTTTCTTAAAAGAATTAAAAAAATTAAAAAATTAAAAAAAATTTTCTTAAGCTACAAACAAGTCAACTGCATACCACACATCTCACAGATGAATGAAAGTACTTTCAAACTGTGGATGCACACACCTTATACTACAAGCTTGGAACTTGGCAAAATAAAACATTAGCAGATTAATATTACATTATCTTTTCTTTGGTAGAGAGCTTAGAGTAATGCCTAAGTGTTTAATCATACAAAAATGATATTTTATGTATAAATATGTAAGTATATAACATCTACACTACATCTTTTGCTAGTCCCAACTATATTATTAATTCACTAAACAGAGACAGGTTTTCAAACCTCTTTAGTAAATTATGCCTAATGATTCTGGAAAAGACATAAGGAGTTCCTCTGCATTGGACAAGTAATATACAAGTGACACTGAAGCTGGCAAACAATCTGAACTTGGAAGACTGAAGCACTGTGCAATAAAAACTTGTTGAAACATAGCTATAGGATCTCAACAGGTTGCTGTCACAGATGTAATTTCTCATGTTTAGTAAATGAACCTGAATATTGCTTTGTCTCTCACTGCTCTGAGCCTTCAGCTTCAACCAGGATTCCTCCAGGCTTAGGATCTCCAGACATACCCTCCTGGGACTTCCTCTAGTTAATTCCAGCTGCCCAGGCTTGGGATCAGCTCCTGAATTTCTCTGAGACTTTAGCATGGTTCTCCTGGAACACTCAAACTAACTGGAGGAAACCCTCCATGAATACATGACTTCACATATGTGTGTTCATAAGTCTTTTGAATCTGCTTTCTTTGATAGTGAAAAATTAACTTCTAGGACTAGGAAAAAGTTGTGAACTTCAGGAAGTTTTTCTTCCTGATTACTCCAAATCACTCCTGAGACTAAGATCAAAGTCTCTGAATAAATCCAAATTATCCTGAGCATACCTTGATTCTTCTTCTGAAGAACTAACTTTATCAGTCCAGATTGCTTTCAACACTTTTGGGGTTTTTTTTCTGCTTTGGATAATTTCTTTCCCTGTTAAATTGTTCTCCCAGCAAGAATCTATGGTTTGTGTTCAAGTATTCCGAATTCTAAAGACCAGTCTTGAGATGAAATGTTTCTGGCTTGGAAAGCAAATGCAAATGTCTTATTAGCAAAGTTTTAGACAAATTTAAAACATGGAACAAGTTCATGACTATGTTTCATCAGCCAGTAGTGACAAGTTTTGTGTATACAAATTGTGTAGATTCTTGCAATTCCATTAAAAAAATTTTCATTTTAATGTCACTTTGGAAAGCAAGATGTTATTATTGATAGTCAGATCTCATATAATACAAAAGGAAATTTTCTCTTATGAAATCAACAGTTTATCTGCTCTCTTTATATTCCTCTGTAAGCCTGGAAGACACAATACCATGGATGGTCTGCATTAACTCAGAACTCGTAGGAAATATATTGAGAGTCAACTACCTAAAACATTCAGAGTAGGAAAAAAAGCCCCAAAAAGACCCATATTGGGATCGTGGACATAGCCCATTTATTTCTAGTTAAAAGAAGGTGTATCTATTTAGCAAAATGAAGTTATCAATGTGGCATAACGTAACACACTCATATTCACTTAATCTAGCATGTTCAACACAACCTGGGTTGCTTTATGTTTCCTCTGACATCACAATCAGCACAAGGATAACAGTATAAGCATAAGCATAAGCTACAATCATATCTTTTTCTAGACATTCCTGCCTTTTGTTTGCAAAGGCATTTGAACGCTTTGCAGTTCAGGGTAGTCACAGATTTGCAGATAGATCTATGGACAATGATGGACATTGTTGATAGCACAAACACTTCTGCAGTTTTCCATCATCTACTTAAACTCATTCATTTGTTCTTGCCCTTGAAAGACTAAGCCTACACTACCATGGTTTTGGAACCTGCAAAATTACATCTAATCTAAATCATTCGCACTATGTCAACCTCTGGACGACTCCCCTCTCCACACCCTCCCCAGAAATAAAATAATTCCCCGGAGAACTGAAAAGCTCCAACTTACTTGCTGCATTGTAGGTGAGTGTAAAGCAGACTGGACCTGCATTGGTAGCTGGTTTCCAATGGACTGCTGCATTGGGATCGGCTGGTGCTGCTGGATGTTGAGATGCTGGTGCAGAGGGGGGCTAATCTGAAGAGGTGGCGGTGGGGACACAGCCATGTTTGCTATGGAAACAGTCACTGGCATTTGGTTGTTGGGTTTGGGCGCTATGTTCCTGGGGATATTGGCATGCATGGCAGTGATGTGAGGATTCATTCCCTGTTGTTGGTGGTAGTGGGAGCCGAGGTACAGTGCAGAGTGAGCCTGGGCAGGCCCATGAAACACTGGCTGCTTTGAATTCATCATCTGAGGTTGTGGGGAGGCTTTGACATCCACAGGTTCGCTGTAGCTCTGTTGGGGAAAACAATAATCAGAAAATACTTAGAAGCTACCAAATACAGCTGTTCTACCCCCTGAAGTCTAAGACCCTAAGACTTAAGACCCTAAGAGCCACACACCATAGGCAAACATTTATCTGGATCATGGAATTTTCCTTGAAATGGAATTTGGTTATTATTCTAGAAAAGTAATTAATCCCTGTCACCTTACACTTTTGTCTTCAACATTGTAAAAAAAAAAAGTAATTCAGGTCCTTTGTTTCCTGGTCTAGCCTGGCATTTTCTTTTTCCAAGCTTGGAACTGCCATCACTGATCTAAAATCTTACACAGTCAAGACAACCAAGCTTGACACATTTTTTCACATAAGCAGCCACTATTACTGTCCTCAGATTTCATGGCCTAGCTGAAAAGAGAATTAGGAGGGTGGGTTACAGCAAAACTCTGTAGTGATTTTTAACGTATCTTGTTTTCCCATGTGCAAACCATGGATAAGATTTTCAGGGCCTTTTACCATATACATTGATATTGCTAATAGTTATTTATCAGTTAGCTAACATGATGAAGAAGCTCAACCCCGTTCTCAGCTGTTCTACTGCATGGAACAAACACACTAGTTGCTGTGCCAATGCCTTTATTTTGAAATATTTTGCTCTGGAATGCTATCCATGCCATCAAACATATTATATAGGCCATGCATTAAAAGAAATAGGAATAGTCTGAATAATTTCTCTTTCAGCAAAACATGCTCTATTATTCCAATTCATAAGGCCCCAAAAATTCTGTCTAAAACTTATGGCTATATAAATGTTAGCCTGCACCAGATATAGGGAAGTTATCTTTAGTCTAAAGCTAAAAAAATACTGCATAGAATATGAGAAACTGCACAGTTTTCAGAAATATTGTGATCTGGCCCAATTTCTTAAAGTTACTACTAATAAAACCTCTCCATTAATGAATATGAATTTTAATAACATTTTTTGTTCTAATATTTATAACTTGCTACATTTGATTAAACTCAATTTGCTCAATTATTTTTCATACATTTATTTTCTTAGACATCCGGAGTGCTAACTGTGTGCTCAAATAAATTATGAAAATAAAATTAAGAATTAACTCCCATATGCTTATAGGTGGGAATCATAATTTGAAGTTAAGTCATACTGGGATTAATATTCAGTGAAAGGTGAAACATGCTAGAATAAAATGGCAGAAATGTCCCTCTGGAGAAAGTCACTTTGTCAAAACAAGGCTGAAAGACGCATACATGCCCTTATTCTGTGATCTCTGTGTCATATTTGCTCAGTTTACAAGTCAGAGTAAGTTTCATGTTACTCTCAGCACTCCAGGGTCAGTGAAGTCTATTTGTATTCTTTCTGAGGGATGCACCATCACCAACAATCTGTTGACACGAGCGTTACTGAAATTGCTTCATTATATGCGATGATAAAGATGAGAATGATAACTTCCTTTTCCCTATGTATAACTGCAGTTCCATTAGCAAAAAACACCCCTGTTTTCTTCAGTAAATGAAGGAAAATTAAATGAATATGAAAAAATTCATGCAAATCTCTGTCTCTGTGGATCTGCCTAGCTCTGCTTGCGTGTGGGTGTACACGTGTGCAATATGTATTATGTGCATGTTTGCAGGATACAGATGCAGACATAAAAGCCTGAAAGTAGCTGGAAAACCTGCCATTATTTGGAGATTATTTTTTAAACACCGAATTAATGTTCATGAGAACAGGGGAAGAATTTTTCCCCTCTCTTTCCAGCTGAATTTTTAGAACACTCTCGTGAGTGTAGAAGCAACGACTGGCAAGTTTGCTGAAATTTCAGCAATTCAGAAGGTTTGCTAATTAGCAGCATGGTCAGAAGACTCCTTTTTGGGTGTCCCATGCTTAATACATGTCACAGGAGGTGCAGGCTGTGTTCTTCCTTGAGAGACTTAGAAGTTTTACTGAGAGCAGTCCCCTCATGGAAACAGCTTGTCTTTCCATGATGTAGCTGGCAGGCTCTGTGTGGTCCAAGCAGCAATAATTGCTCCTGAAGTGTCTAAGGGAAGATTGGCTAAACTAATCCTTCTGGTGAGATGAGTGTTGCAAAAATGCCTTTGCTGACATACTGATACACACTTCTATTTCATTTGTAACTACAAAGATGCTGCCATACACCCCTTTAACAAAGATACAGGGAACCAATCTAATTACTGGACAATTCTGAGTTCACACATAAATGCAGGAAACATGGCCCACACTGATAAAATTACAGACATATATAGATATTATAATTTGATACTTTAAATGCTGAATTATGTTAAGAGGAATTGCACAGTCTCTGGTCGGAGATGAATAACACTTGTTACACCTCTGAGAAGAGCTCTGCAAAGTGATCAAAAGGGACAGTTTCAGTTGTTTCAAGCTATGAATCAGCTTTCTATATGTTTCACTACCTCTTGATCTAGTAAAAAGCACAACACTTCAGTTTAAGAGCAAGTATTTTGCTGTAACTTTGGGATGCTTTAAATCATATGTAATCTGAAATCAAATTGTCCAATATCAGTGTAAAACACATTAATACTATCAGTTACTGGAATCTTGATAAACAAACCCATTAAATGCCATTCTCCAGTATATTGCACTTCCAGCTTTTTTCTGCAGCTGGGTCAGAAACACAGATAAGTATTTCTGGAGCTAATAACATAGGTGATGCCAAGTGTTTCAGCTTTGTGATGTCACTTTGCTGTGAAATAAACCAAGAAGCACATATGACACATATGTCACACTATGATTTTGGGCCAAATTTCTGCTTTCACAGACTAGAATGGGCATTGCACTAGTCCAGTGCAGCATCAGACAGCTTTAGACAAGGACTTTTATTATGGGTAAAAAATGGAATTAAGAAAGTATGGATTTGACTGTCCAATATGGGCTTCAAATGCACAGTTATGTTCCCTACTTTGCTGGTTGAATTTCAGCCAATTTTCTCTTGACTTATCTTAGGAGAAGAGCACACAAATAATTTGAACAGCTCTCCCAAACCTCTAATTAATCTGCCCCAAACCAACACAGAAAATTTACATCACTAATTTGTAGGACAAAGTTCTAGGATCAAATTCAGATATGTTGCAGTGGAGACCAAAATTACAAATCCATACACACGGGCCATCAAACACTGGGGCTTAGTAACTCCTAAATGCTAAAAAGTCTTCTACTTAGACATGTAGTGGGAACATCTTCCATCGCTGCTAGCTGAAGAATGGTGGTGTAGACCCACCACTAGAGGGTGACAGAATATTATATTTAGTTAATGGTAGGTGGTGGTATTTTACGCGTACATTAGTGAACATACACTAGGGTGACAAATTAGTTTTTTGTAACACTCCTTTGAGTCCTTTGATTGGCTTGTACTTGTTCTGGAGAACAAATCAAAGCCTTGCTGTAAATCTTCACATTCTTCATAGTCTAGAAGAAGGATTTCCTAGGGACTTGTCTCTCCTTCTAACATCATCACCTAATATTCTTGTCTAAATAAACTTTTTAAAAATAATAAAAAATCATAAGGTGAAGACAAGGTAGGTAGACCAAGGAAGAATGGTACAGAGAAAATATGATTGCCTTTTAGGCACAACACAAATCCAGTTTCCAACCTCTCCCCCCAAAGAATCTGTTGTTTTACTGAAACATGAAGAAAAAATGGGAAGAACATTTTGAAATCCCAAAAGAAAGATAATGAAAGTAAAAGAGAAATGAGAAAAGGGAAGGAAAAAAATAAGTACTACTGTAATTCTGATTATAGCAACTATAATTATATAAACTAAAATTACTGGTGGTGCATGACTTTTGGTTCATAAAATTATCTTTGTATAATATTTTCAAGAAAGTGTATGATACAGATGAGTGCTGTTCTTAAGAGAAAGTGTTCAGGATTAATAATTTTGCACAAAGTTTGGAAAGGGCTGAATCAAGTTCTTCCTCGTGATTTTCACCAAACTCATGACTTTCCTTCCAATTTTAGTGTAAAGAGAGCTTTCCCATGCACCTCTATTCACCTTCTATGCTCCAAAACTCCTTATGCTTTATTGCCAAATTAAAGAATTAAATTAGGAATAAGGGGTTAAGCGTTGCTCACTTAGAGCAATAGTTGTGCTATTCTTTTCTGAAGGGAACTGCCCTGGGTCTAGTGGTCATTCTTATCACACTGCATTCAGGCACAGGGAGTGTGTCTGTTCCTTAGAGGAAAGTGACATTGGGATTTCCCTCATGCCATCCAACTCACTCACCAAATTATTTTTGGTAAAGACATCCTGCTCAATTTGTTATAGAAAAAATAGCCCAGATGATGCCATTTTGGCATCTCCACAGGTCCATTTGGGATATAATTTGAAAACTTTGAAACACTTTGAAAACTCACCAGTTTAAACTCTCACCTATGTATTGGTGTAACCAACCAGCTCCTGAAACCTACAAATAGGTATTGATTCTATTTCTAAACTGTGTCTACCTCCTGGCTACTGTTGGAGATTCTAATCCCATTTCTGTTGGAACATAAATATCCATGTGGTTGAAAGCAAAGCAAGAACATGTTTTAACAAGGCAGTACTCTAAGAGCCTGGTCCTTAGACTACTGAACTTAAAGGAAAATCTGTTTGGATCACAGCTCAACACTGTTACTGTTACTTAAGTATCAATGCCTGGATGTCCATTTCATTTTTCATGAAAACCAGGTAGGATCTGACTAACAAAGGCTGAGGACCATTCTCAACTGATGATCACTACTTTTGACCTCTGATCCATAAGAAGTGTACCTAGAATCTACAAGTGCCTATACTTATTTCTGTGTTAACGTGTAAATGCAGTTTCTGTTAGAAATGTTGCCAGCAAGTAGGACTACATAGATGTATTCACACATGATCTGTATGGAAATCTTCAACTTACTTAATTTATACATGCTTCATATTCAGAATTCTTATCTACTATAGAATAATATGTGAGAATTAAATAGATTTTAAAATA